CACCCCCCCCCCCCCCATTTAATCTCATTAGGATAAACAATTTAGACCTTAAAGAGATGCCATCTGTGATTTTTATTTGCTGTGGATGTCAAGCTGATCTTCAGGTAAAATATACTTTATGATACAATATTTCATAAAATTAGAAAACTACTGACATAAATAAATAAGCTAGCTATGCTGCAGAGTGTTTAAAAGTATAAAAAATTCAAAGATGTCATTAAAATAATCTAAGGTAAAATATGTTTAATAATACAATATTTCATAAAATTAGGAAACTGTATAATAAATAAATAAATAAGCAAACAAACAAGCAAGCTGCACGTCTGAAGGTAACGTTACCAAAAAAAAAAAATCAAAGATCTCATTCAAATAATCAGTTTTTTGTTGTTGTTAAAGACTTGCACCAACGTAGATCTCAGAGTGATATCCATAAGTGGAAATCTAATCTCAAAATATTCTTAAAAATAGACAGTCATGTACTGAACAGTAAGTTATTACAATTATTACAGCCTATGTTGATTAATCACCAGTCAGACAACATCGCAGTGGCCATTTCACATTTGCATCGACGAACTTGAAGTCTCGAATGACACTGACATCAGCAAAGATCCACTTGGAAAAAGCAGCGAATGCCAAAATGATTTACCTCTGCTTGTCGACGGCTGCAACGCTTAGATTGTCGCCTGTCGGAGTCGTGCAGAACAATTTAGCCCAGCTGCAGCAGCTGGACTGCGGGCTCGATTTTCCTCCCGCGCCGCCGGTGCAGAAGTGAAGTAGCGCGAGGACCGCAGCCAAGGCTCCGGGAGCAAAAAAAAAACAAAAAAAAACAGCCGGTTTCGCTTGCACGCAGACACGGTGCCAAACTGATCCGCACCCCGGGGATCTAATTAAATGGCAAGCCACGGGGGTGTATGGTGAAACGTTTATATATTTCGCCTAGGTATGCAAAACGATGTAGAGTAAAACACCCAGACAGGATATCCGACTGTCTCCCAAAAATCTATTGCACATAATACTGCATGTGTCTGAACATGGAGCGAGGAATCTCTCGTCAGTTCTTGGGTTTTGGAACAAACCCACTTGAGCCCACATAAAGCTTGTTTGTGAAATTCCGTGGAGGATTGTGGGCTAATTTAAACACTGTTTCCGATCCGATTATATTCGCTAAAGTAACGTACGTGTGCAACGTTTCTGAATGTAATATTTTTAACTGTTGTTTTATATTGTCCACAGACTCATGTGTTGCCTAATAAAATACAGAAGAGTCAGTGTAATTTAATTTTTTTTTAATGTGTAGCATCAACAACTCTCATAAGAGCCTATTGCATAAAACAAGGCCACTATAATTAGGTTTATCAGTGTCGTTTTTTAAATACACTATAGAACAGATCTTTTTTTAAATTAAATTCGGTGCAAATTTTATTCTAAATTAGAGTAAGCTAAATCATAATTTTACCAACCAGCCGTCTTCAGTTTATGAATTCAAACTTTAATTAATTAGCCCGTCTTTCTGTAAAAATGAAAGATCTCAGTAGCCTATGTTTAAGACCAAAATTCACGGTGATTGTCAATGTGAACGTTATAGGCCTATAGCCTATCTGATTTATTTTTATTTGACTTTTTTTCCAGATTAAATAATTTTACACAGATTTCTTTAGAATGAAAATGGGCTCCCTTTCTCGTTGTTTCATGCATTGAGTTGACTAACAAGTCTTTATTTATTTACTGAGTTATTTGAAAATATATGCCACTGTTCTTTGTGGTCATGTCCTCAAAGCTATTGAAAATCAGAAGTGGGGGAAAAAGAGAAAGATTCGCATAGGGTTTGGGTGTTGAATATGTATCGCAACCTGTTCGGGACGCCATACAAGGTCAATGGGACGAAAACTGATATTGGTCTCGCTCTGCAGAAATACACGTATATATTGCATGTCCGTCATAGCCTACAGTACGTGTGTTACGTGCAAAATACGGCACATATGACGACACACAAGACTGTACACAGAGAAAGTATATCGTCACGAAAATCAGTTCCATATCATGGAGCGAATCTAGTTATTGTATACCTAATCTATAGCGAATCTAGTTATTTCCAGATTATTGTTTTTATAATTTTATTTTAATATGTTGACGTGTCACCGCGTGGTTTTAACTTTTCTCCACACTCAAACTTGTTGGTTTAATACATTAATTTCCTTATAACGGCAACAATTAGCCTACTTATAAGTGGCAACAAATGTGGATGGATGTGAATTATTCAGGAACGTACGACTTACTCTTCGAGGACAACAAAAATCGAGATTCTGCATTAGCTTCTCAACAAAATTGAGATATTTAGGAACAGTTGGCTTTCCTATTTAATTCAAATGACTAAAGTCTAAACTGCAAACCTGACAAACATGTATATTAGATATTAGCCTGACAGGAGCTTAGAAATTGGTTGTTTGACAGTAAACAGGACACAGATTTAGATTTCATAGACCACGGATCTCCAGTCAGACTCTCGCTCACAGAGGGACCCTCAATATAGAAAAAGCAGGATGTTCTTTGTAGCACTTTGGCATAATGTCCATTTCCCTTTGTTTAATACTTAACAGATCCTTAGCAAATATTCCTTCAAACAGTTTATGAAAATGTCATGGGGGAAAAAAAAAAAACTTTAAAGAGAACCCTGAGTACCTTCAGAAGAAAGCTTAGTAAGTTCTTAAAACCATGCATTTATTAAAGAAAGATGCATGTTCCAGGGGGAGAAATGTTCAATCATGTGTAATCAAAAAGAAAATCTTTTAAAAAGTTATTTTATTTGAAATTATTTAAATACAAATAATATATATTTTCCATTTACAATGACAGTTTTGTTGTAAACAAAAGTGGCAGATACTATTTACTAGGCAATTCACCCCTTTTTCTGGCCAGTGAGTTTCTCGGTGTGTGTGTGTGTGTGTGTGTGTGTATGAAGAGATGATTTCTCATAATCTGCGCACTTCAGTCGCAGCTTTCAGAACACAGCATGAATTATGAGGCTACAATCTTTTTTAGAACTATAATACTAAAATGTCTATTTATCTGTAAAACTGTTATAATTTTATAAAACTGGTTGTGAATGCGTTACATGCAACCAGAATGACACTTTCCCTCTGTCAGTAAAGATTGCATTGTGTTTATGCTAATGAACACAAGGGGGAAAAATAAGTAAAAGAATGTTCAGATTTTCTAATAACATTTGCAGTTTTCCAAATGTACCTACATACATTAACTATTGGGAACAAACAAGAAAATTAAATTTCCTGTCATAAATTCATGGTTTAAAAAGAAAAAGAAAATAAAAATACCCATAAATGCAGAATACATTTCATATGCATTTTTACAATTCAAATAATTTCATATCAGTCAGCTTAACCTCTCCCACTAATTGACAAATGAACAGGCCAGACCAATATTTTCATAACCACTAAATCAGCACTTCCAATATGCTGTCAGACCTTCCATTGGTGCAAAATAACATTTAAAAGGGACAAAAATAACCATATCCACAAAAAAAAGCTAAATATACCCTCAATTTTGAGCCTTGTTGCCATCACGCCACGCACAAAAACGTGCAAAAATAAACACTGACCCTCAATTATTCCTATCACTCAAACTGATGTTTCTATATCAAACCATTTGCAATATTTGTGGCCTCAAAAAAATATGTACATCGAATAAGGCGTTTATATTTGATGAGAGTGGAATGTAAGACAAAATTATATATAAATACAAAAAAAAAAAAAAAAGAAAGAAATTTGATCATTTTTAGG